GTTGAACAGGTTTAGAGTCTGATGCTACTGACAAGAGGCTACAGATCAGCTCTAAGGTCAAGTCTTGAGAAAAACATTGCCCAAGCTGTATTTGTGATAGTTGTAGGTATTATATGAAAAAGGTTTTGTGGTTAAATAATCTGGGAAAGCACTGGGTTAAACAGGGATTTTTTTTTAATTGTAGAACTTTCTAGAGCCTTTAACATGTGTGGCATGTCCTCTTGAGAAACAGAACCAATAGGATGTGTGTGTGTACACTATATGTTTATGCATGAGAATATACAGATGTGTATAAATCTATCATATTAGGGTATGTATCTATCTATTTTAAGGAATTGGCTCATGTACCTGTAGCAGTTGGCAATCTTCAGAGCAGGCCAGTAGGCTGCAGACCCAGAGAAGGGTTGATGCTGCAGCTTGAGTCCAAAACCAAATGCTGGCAGAATTCCCTCTTCCTCGGAGGTCACTATTTTTTCTCTTAAGGTCTTCAACTTAGTGAATAGACCCACCCACATTAGGGAAAACAATGAGCTTTATTCAAAGTCCACTGATTTAACTGTTAATCTCATCTACAAAATACCTTCACAGCAACATCCAGGCCAGTGTTTGACCAAATATCTAGGCATCATGGCCTATCCCAGTTGACACATAAAATTAACCATCACAGTATGCTAAAGGGCCTTGCAAATCTGGAAAAAGGAAACATAATACATATCACTCCCTCCCAATTTATGTGAGTAAAGAATTCATTGTTTGCAGAACACCTATTAACATCTGGTAAAACAGTTTGGAGACTATTGACCTTGAATAATGATTCACAATTTTGTCTTGCTCCAGATAATCAAAATATGGCCAAACAAACAAAAAAAAAATATATATATATATGCAGTGCTTACTTTTTATGTAATAAGATTAAACCATTACTCATGTTTGCTTTTTAAGACAATAACATGTAAATGTAAAATAACCCAATACTTTTATTAGATTTACTTTCATGTTATATTGTAATTTGCAAGCTAAAATTCCATGCACTGCACACATTACTGATGAAATGTTCTCATATTAACAAATTATGGGGGAAATATGTATACATCTGCTTTAGTAATAAGGGAATGGATGATTCATACTTGAACACAGTGCATACATACCAGAGTAATTTTGGAAAATTATAGCCTAAAAATTCATAAATATTCATTACTATATGCTATGGGGTTAAAAACAACTCACAACAAACTAAATTGATAATGATGAACAAAACTAACAATAATTTGCTGTTAAGAAGAAGAGCGGCAATTAAAAAACATGATTATTCAAGGCAGTACTGATAATTAATATGTATCCTTCCCCCAGATTGTAGGAATCCAATTACTTGCATATGCACACATGTAACTGGAACCTTGCAGTGTTAGTAAAATACTGAATTGGAGCCATGCCTACATTCTCCAAAGTCTAAAAAGCACTGATTTTAGTTTAAAAATACCAAATGTAGCAAAACATATATAGACAGTTATTAATGGGTTGATCTCATTCAAATTAAGAAAAAGTTTTAGGATTGTCAAGGGCAACCCATTAGGAAGATTCGCTGGCCCTGCCATGGGCTGAGGGCCATACTTTGAGAACCACTACATAGAGGATTAGGCAAACAAATAAAGGAATTTATGAATATATGCAAAACACATAAATTAAAAAATTATTTTATTTCATAGAAAATCATTTTAATAGAAATACAAATTTCGTGGAATAAAATCAATAGTTGTAATAATTACTTTTTTAAAAAAGATTATATTTAGAGGGGCGCCTGGGTGGCTCAGTCGTTAGGCGTCTGCCTTCCGCTCGGGTCATGATCGCAGGGTCCTGGGATCGAGCCCCGCATCGGGCTCCCTGCTCGGTGGGAAGCCTGCTTCTCCCTCCCTCACCCCCCCTGCTTGTGTTCCCTCTCTCGCTGTGTCTCTTTCTGTCAAATAAATAAATAAAATCTTTAAAAAAAAAAAGATTTTATTTAGAAAGCACACACCCATGTGTACGCATGCTCGAGCATGGCGGGGGAAGGGGCTGTGGTGTGCAGAGGAAAAGGGAGAGAGGAAATCTCAAGCAGACTCCCTGCTGAACATGGAGCCTGATGCAGGGCTCCATCTCACTACCCTGAGATCATGAATCCGAGCCAAAATCAAGAGTCGGATGCTTAACCGACTGAGCCACCCAGGTGTCCATGTAATAATTACTTTCAATATACTCAATGCATAAGCAATGTAAGGGCTATCTATGCTTCTATAAATTTCTATCAGTTTATATAAACTTTAAACACAATTGGCCCCACTGCACAGTTAAGTTCCCTGTTAAATTACATCCCCCACCCCCACCATTTAGGACAAATCACACCTCCTTCCTAGCTTTATGTCAGACAACCAAGAAATGGTCCTGATTTTACCCGATTCTAATGTGCCTCATCCCCCAGCCATCAGAAGGGTAACATTCATTCCAAAGTAGAAGCTTTGCACTTCCTCAAATTTCAGCCCAGCTCCTCTAGCCTTTTCCAAAGCAAATACTTGGTGGCTTTTATTTCTATGGAAACCATTATTAATTTCAGAATGACTTCAGTTTATATCGTTCTGAAACATGGTGTTCTGCTTTAAAAAAAAAAAAGAGGATAGGATGCCTGGCTGGCTCAGTCAGTAGAGCATGTGACTCATGATCTCGGGGTTGTGAGTTCAAGCCCCACGTTGGGTGTAGAGATTACTTAAAAATAAAATCTTAAAAAAAAAGGATTGAATATGTAAATTTTGGAGAAGTAGAATTAGTGGATGTGCGACTACCTGGGAAAAGACTTCCTATAAGAGAATTTGAACACGGTACCACTGAGAGAGGGGATCGGGTTAGTCCTGCCCTGGATTTATCCTGATAGACCTATCTGTGCCTGACACTCAGCACTGCACCCCCGAGCACTCAGAGGAGTGATGGAGGCTCGGTGAGTATTTGCTGAATGAATGAGGGTATGAGTCATTTCGTCTGCTGGGATGGCTCAGCACGGTCAGGTTCGGATGCACTGCGGGTTTTGGAATGCCCAAGGGGGCTGGGATTCTCTTCTTTGCAAATCTCATCACTTTCTGCACTTAGATTCTTGCTATTGCTGTGGGGAATAGTTTGCTTTCTCTTTCCTGCCCATCAAGCTCATTTTAATGAGCTGCTCCTGTTCAGCTGTCTTCCTACAATACAGTCATTTTCTCTTCCTTAAAATGTTCATGCTTGAGGCTGACTGCCTTGGTGACTTCACTTGTTAATCAGAATGAACTGATGTCACGTCTATTCCAGCCCTCTCACTTGACCATCTACAGATGTTGTGCGTTCCCCGTAGCCCATTGGCACATAGGACAGCGCTTGATTTTGTTGTCTTTAATTATGGTGTGTGGTGTGTGTGTGTGAGGAGGGAGAGGGCAGGGCTGGGAGTCGGGGGAGACAGGTGAGGCTGCTGGGGTGGGACACGTAGGGAGGCGCTCACTCTGAGAGGCATCCGCTGCCTCGGCCTGGTCCCGGCTCTGGGAGGAGCAAGGGGGGATATGTGTGAGTGTGACTGTGTGAGTGTGAATAGATGAGCGTGAGCATGGATGTATGGGTGTGTGTAAGTATGTGAGCATGAGTGTGAGTGTGGGTAAGTATGTGAGCGTGAGCATGGATGTGTGAGCATGAGTGTGCATCGGTGTGTGAGAGTGCAGGTGTGAGCATGAGTGTGCATCGGTGAGTGTGTGTGAGGGTGATGAGTACTGACTGCCCTGGATTTAAGGTGGCGCCAGATACATGTCGGTTTCCCCAACAGTTGCACACAGTGTGTGCTCTGCACACAGTAGGTGCTCAGGAAACACTGAGTGTGCTCAAGTAGAAAATAATCCAAATTATAAGGTGATACCTTATCTTTCCAGTGAGAAGTCCTTAAAAAAAATGCAGCTTAGGTCAACTTGAATATATAAACTTTTATAGGCATAGATATCAAATGTCTGCTTTAAATATAATTTACCTTAATTGTACAATATATTTTAAATCTTAGGTGCCTTTTAAAAAAAAAATTCTATCAGGTGACCTCTATACAAATTTAAAACTAGGGGCACCTGGGTGGCTCAGTTGTTAAGCGTCTGCCTTCTGCTCAGGTCATGATCCCAGGGTCCTGGGATCGAGTCTTGCATTGGGCGCCCCGCTCGGCGGGGAGCCTGCTTCTCCCTCTCCCACTCCCCCTGCTTGTGTTCCCTCTCTTGCTGTGTCTCTCTCTGTCAAATAAATAAATAAAATATTTTAAAAACACTAAAAAAAAATAAAACTAGCAATTTCCTCATTTTACAATGGAGATGATCATAATAGTACATGATTTATAGGGTTGTTGTGAGGGTTAAAACATTTAATGCAATAAAGGACTTAGAACAGCGCCTGGTATGCTGTGAGGTCTCATCCAAGGACTGTGCCTGCCTGCCTGTGTGTGGGCATGTGCGTTTCTAGTCCACGTGCCGAATCCAGTAGAGCTTTGTTATTCAAAATATATAAACCTCATAACAGGAAAGACAATAAGGATGTGAAAATTTGGACTACTTTCTCCTTTCGGAGGGGTCATTTTTTGAAGTAAATGATCTTACCTTTTCTTTGGGCATATATAGTAACTGTCAGGTAACTGTCACTGACTCCACTTTGGAAAAGACCTGCATTCAAATTTCAGTGGAAGGTTCTAGAAATGTAAGGTGAAATTGCGGCTATGGAAAAAGGCAATTGGGAGACAAAGCCTCTAGAAAATAACAATGACTAACTCTTTGTGCAAATATGACTCCCTTTGTTTCTTAAAATTTTTCATGCCTTTGGGTGAAGTTTTTTTCCCTCTTTTCCCTTTTTCCCAAACAAAAAGTCTGTTTCATTACAGTCTTCACTTTGCTCTTCAAGACTGAATGACTTTAGGTGCATTTAATTCAACTGGATTTATTTGAGGAGCTCAAGAACTAATTTATTTATTCTATTTATTTTTACAGCATGCCCATTACCTAGGGATTCTGGGCACATATAAATGATCTGCTTGGGACTGGCAAACAAGAACTGGTGATAAATGGACAGTGAGCAAACCGTCTGAAACATTAGTCAAAAGGATTCTTCCCTTCCAGAAATGCTTGGTTAAGCAGGTTGGTCTTTCAGTTTTCTTGGATCTTGACATTTTATGTTCACATTGTTGCTTTTCTTTTTTTTTTCTTTTTT